ATGTCTTCAGTGAGATTAAATAACATCTGAAGCTGACACAGAACCATCAGTTCAATACCATTCATATCAGCAAAGACTTATTAAACCCTGATGTGAGGCAATCAGGCTACTCAGCAGGTAGAATATAAGCTTGCATAGGACTTATTCTTGTTTTTAGGAGCCTTATCATCTAGTTGAGGGAAGATGGCACACACAGAGTAACAGACTATAACTCAAGGAGTTATATTCACACACTTATTTCTGGACATAGAGAAGACAGATGTCTTCTGGTTGTGTTGAATCTGGAAATGTGAAAAGGATTTTCAAATAATGGAGGCAAGATGGCTAGAGGTGAGAAGGCTCAGGTGAAGTTCTGGGCAGCTGGAAAAATGTTGGCCCAGGCGGATTAGTGGAAAAAGGGCAGGAGAACATTGGGAGGTACAGAGGGTACATGAAGAGTTTAACTCCTCCCTCTTTACTTATATGTCCCAAGTCTAGACTAGCAAGTCATGACTGGACCCCAGAGAGCTTTGAGAGAACTGTGGATCACTGGGCCCAATACCTTACAGATAATAAGTCCTTGCTGTAGTTTGACCTGCCATATTCCCCAAGGGCCAGTATTGAAGCATCCTGTGCTGCTATTGGGAGAAGTAGAGGTAAAGCCTAGTGGGAGGAAGTCAGCCATGAGGTGAGCAGGCTGCTTCCATCACAGCTCCCACCATGATGTGCTATACTTTGTGTTTCCTGAAATTACAAGCCAAAATTAATCTTTTCTCCTTTTAAATTGATTTTCTCAGGTGTTTTGTCAAATTGACAAAAAGCTAACAGTCACTGAAGATGTCCTCTTGGAACTGCTGATTTGGAAAAGTGGTTTTCCTTCATTAGTTCACTCAGTCATTCATTCAATCGTCCACATATGTGTCAGCCATAGATTTATACCTACTGTGTACCAGGGACTGCACAAGGATATCAAGATGCAAAGAATAACACACAGCCCTATAAGAGAACTGGGTAGACCTTCACTTGCTACTGTGTGCTTTTACTAACTTGCATGTGCCCATCTCCTCCAAGGAATCACAAACTCTCCTGTAGATGTACCAGGAAGCCAGTAAGTATCTGTGGAAAGGGCCAAAGGGGCAATGGCTTACCCAAGGAATCAGTGGCATTGACCTGGAGGATGAGCCAGCTGTGGACATTTTCCTTGTTGGACCCAAAAATAGTGAAGACGGTGCTCTTCTCCCCAGGTTCTGTGAGGAGCCCATACACAAACACAGGCTTCTCAGAGAAGATGAATGTCTTCCAGGTCTCCCCTTCATTGGTACTGTATCTGCCCAATGCAAGAAAAAGAAGCCATGCAGTTACAATCCCAGCTGCAGCAGGGCAATTTACAGCTGTAGCAGCAAGCAAAGAGGCTTCGGAGAGTAATGCAGCCACCTCAGAAGGACACAAGACCCAAGCGATGGGAATCCAAATGGCCACATTTAGAAAACTTTTAACTTTTTATAAAGAAAAGGAAAATGGCAGTGATAAATTACATACTGGGTGAAAATAAAGCACAGACCTCTACTAATACCATAAGAAAGATAAGCAAAGTAGGGAAAAGGTTTTTTTTTACATTAGGTGCCACCTAGTAAACAGTAAAAACAAGATGAGAGACATTATCATTCTGTAATCCTCACTGTAATAACCAAACAAGAAAAGGATCCTGACTGGATGTTAAAATGACTAATTGAAAGTCTTAAGGACCAGGATGTTCACATGGTTTGAAGGTAAAACTCTTAGATAAACCATTCTTTCTTTTCTTTTTTTTTTTTTTTTTTTTCTTGGTTTTTCTCCAGTACCAGGAACTGAACTCACGACCTTGCGCTTGCCAGGCAGGTGCTTTGCCGCTGAGCTAAATCCCCAGCCCCAGATAAATCATTCTCTACACAAGGGGAAATGTAATTTTACAGTGGATGATGAGTCACAACCTTAGCCAAATTTAGCATCACCAATAGCCAGACAACCTGAAATTACGTGCCTGCTGAGTGAAAGCATCAAGAATAAGACATCATCCAATCACTCCACACAAGTGGACAAATCTAAAACGTGGATACTCACCATGATGACTGCTAGAGATCCTTCAAAAACAGCCAAGGCCACAGAAACCAAGTAAACAAAACAGGCAGAAGGCTTGTTACAGATTAAGAGAGACCAAAGAAGTCAATGATCAAATACAGTGTGTAGACCAACCCAGCATATGGACCTAGATCGACCGAACACTGGATTACAGGAAAATATTTTAAAATGCATAGGTCAGCAGCAAATGGGATAACTGAGAAAATGTCACTATAGCCTGTAAGTAATAAAGAACTCATCTTAGTTTGCTTGGGTTTGTGCATTGTGATTAAATAAGAAAATGTCCTTACTAGAGATACATATCTAAGTATTCAATAAGTGGTGAAGGAGCATGAGTTTGCTACCTTGTCTCAAATGAGTCAGTCTCCAGAAAGATGGAACAGATTGACAGGATAGATAAATATAGAGATAGCAGAAGCAAAGCAAATTGGCAAAATATTAACAGTTGGTGACTCTAGGGGAAGATAACACAGGTGTTTCTTTACATAGTCTTTCCAGCTTCTCCGTGGTCTGAAAAATTCAAAAGTTGAAGGAACAGTTTGTCAAAGGAGACTTATCAGAACCAGGAAGCATGCCCTTGGGGGGAAATGTAGCACTTCAGTAATTGCACTAATTTTAAATTATCTGTTGTATAAAAAGGAGGGTAGAGGAGAAATAAGAAGGGGAGACAGGAAAATCTGCCTGCTACTTGCTTTATCACCCAGTGAGCCGTGAGATGCTCAGCGTGAGAAACCGCCCAGTTAGAGCTTTCCTTAGAGCCACAGGGCTGTGGGGCTCTTAATTCCTAATTAAATATCAATCTTTTTCCTTCACTTATCCCATTCTTTGCGATTTTAGTTTTATTCCCTCAGGACTCCAATACTTGACATGAATCTTTTGACAACCTTACTCAGTCCCAACACTTTTTCTCAGATTGAGATTTCTTACATTGATAATGCTTTTTTAAAAACCTACGGGTTCAATCAAGTGGTAGAACTGCACAACAACATAATGAATGTCAATGGAAGGATAAGTTACCCTCTCCAGTGTTCCAGTAAGAGAGGAAGTTCTTATCTGGCTGATAGCTTTTTTGGTTTAAGTGAATCTTAAAGCAAGTTTAAGTAAATTTTGAAATTTGGATGAATTAACTCATTTAATCTTCTTGTACCAAAGTGATGAACTAAAGACATAGCTAGGACCTCTTTTAAAGCAAACTGCAGAGTTAAATTGGTTTATTAATCATACATGATGTGAATAATCCAACCACTCTGTGATAATGTTGGTAGTTCATCCATTTCATACAGTGCCAAGTCAATTCCATTTAAGAGCTCCTTCAACCAAAGATAACCTCAGGAAATGAATCATCCCATTTCTTAAAAAAGTCTCAGAGGACTCTGACAGTAACTCATTAATGAGACCAACCAGCAGGTGCATGGCCAAGTGCAGCCTTCTATCTGAGAATAAACTGCTTATTTAGAAAACAGAGTGTTTTCCTTTTTCTAGAATTTTGGAGAACAGGCAAAGATTGCGGACTGCAAGGGTTAAGGGATCTTCTATTATGGACTGAATTCTGATTTGTAAATCAAAACTTGTGTGGGTAAAATGAAAGTGCCAAGAATCTCAAAAGAGAACAAACCAACTCCTTTTTGTATTCTTAAATCAAGAAAGAGGAGCTATATACAGGGTCGTATTCCTTAGCAATGGAGAATTCAAATTGTTTAGTTAAAAATACAGACAAAAATCCCATGGCCAAAAACTCTCAAGAGAATAGAAGGTCAGTTAATAATAGTACAAAGTAACAAAACATAACCACAGATACTTTAAAAGAGGATAGTGGTGGTGGGTACCTAACTTATAACGGTATCGTGTGGCTACACAGAAAGATTGTTGATAATCTCAGATTTATAAAGAACATGTTCAAGGTAAGAAGAGTCAGCCAGGAATATAGCTCAGGGGCACAGCGCCTGCCTGGCCAGTACAAGGTCCTGAGTTTGATTTCCATACCAAAAGAAATAAAAATAAAAAATAAGAACAGTTGGGGCTGGGGATTTAGCTCAGCGGCAAAAGCGCCTGCCTGGCAAGCGCAAGGTCGTGAGTTCGGTTCCCGGTACCGGAGAAAAACAAAAACAAAAACAAACAAAAAAAAAGAACAGTCATAGAACCAAGGGCAAAAAATTAAAGAGGAGCAATCACCTGTCAGTTCATTCTCTCTGTAATTTTTATAGCTAGGAACCTGCTGGAAGAGTAGCCAGATAACTCCGGGTCAAGAAGACTCAAGGATTATGTTTCAGATTACTAAGATAACTGGTAGATAGATGGGCCAATGGAATGCTGTGCTGGTTAACTAAAAAGTCCTGTAAAGGATTAGAAGAGCAATAGAACCTCTGTTCTGATGGCCAATGGTCTAAATAATGATAGAGAAAAAAGGATTTCTATTTGATTTTATCTTTATGACAAAGACAGTATCTTCAAACTGGGCAAAGATAAAAAAGAAGGGATGGGTTAAAGGAAAATGAGTGTAAAATAAATTCTAGAGAATAGAAAAACATAAAGATAGGATGATTACAGAGTCCTTTTGCGGGGGCAGTACTAAGGATTAAATTCAGGGCCTTCCTACTGAGCTATATCTCCAGCCATGTTGTTTTATTTTGTTTTGTTTTGTTTTGTTTTGTTTTGTTCTGTTTTCTTTTGTGTTTTGTGTTCTCTGCTTTGTGACACTGTCTTGCTAAATTACCCAGGCTGGGCTCAAACTTGCAATCTTCCTGCCTCAGCCTCCCCAAGTCTTGAGATTACAGGCCTACACCATCATACCTGGCTCAGAGTTCCTTTCAATAACCTCTAGGATAGTCCTGAAGAACAAAGACCTCAAAGTCTAGAGGAGGAAAATGGGTTTTATTGACCTAAAGAAAAAGTGGCTTTCAGAGTGGACTGAAACAGGCAATTTGAGAGCTCTTAGGAATAAAAGGGAGTCAATGCTGGGAACAGCAACGGTTTCATACACAAGTCACAACAAACTAACTCCACTTTTTTTCTCCTGGTTAATTCTTGAGTTCAAGAGCAGGATAATGACACCATTCTATTCTTATGAAGATCTTTGCAGACCACACTGACAGGTAACATTCACTCACAAACTGCTGATAAAACAAACACATGCTAAGGGAGCTGACACATGGTTTGATACCAACCCCAAATAAGACTTCTACTTCTTACAGAGCTCAGCATATCTGCCACGGATCTGGACAGCAATCGCAAGGTAATCCACCACACTTGCAAAGGCATAAGGCGAAGTGCACAGATGATACAATAAATGTCAAAACTGGAATTCAAAATAGTTTCATACATCAGAAGAATAAGCAAAAGTGAGAATAAAATAAAACAGTTTCAAAAATTTACCTGCTCAATGACATGATGGTCTACATAGAAAACACCCAAAATTCCACCAAAAGACATGTAAATTTAATAACTAAATTCAGCAGCGTAGCTGGATACAAAGTCAACACTCAAAAATCAATAGCATTCCTGTACACAAAAAGCAAACACACTGAGAGAGAAATTAAGGAAATCATACCTTTCAAGATAGCATACAAAAAAATGAAATACTTAGGCATCAATCTAACAAAGGAAGTAATACATCTCTACAGTAAAAATTATAGTACTCTGAAAAAAGAGATTGAAGAGTATCTCAGAAAATGGAAAGATAGGGGCTGGGGATTTAGCTCAGTGGCACAGGGCCTGCCTGGCAAGCACAAGGTCATGAATTTGATTCCTGGTACAGGAAAAAAATCAAAAAAAAAAAAAAGAAAATGGAAAGATATTCCTTCTTCATGGATAGGAAGAACCAACACTGTGAAAATGGCCATATTCCCAAACTTGTTGTAGAGATTCAGTGCAATCCAATTAAAATACCATTAGCATACCTCATAGATCTAGAGAAAACATTCCTAAAATTCATTTGGAACCAGAAGAGGCCTAGAATAGCAAAAGCAATCTTGAGCAACAAAGGAAAGGCAGGAGGCATTATAATCCCTGACTTGAAATTATATTACAAAGCTACTATGATAAAATCAGCATGGTACTAGCAAAAGGTGGACCTGAGGATCAATGGAGCAGATTAGAAGATGCAGACACAACTACAAACACATTCAGCCATGTTATCTTTGACAAAGTGGCCAAACATGTTCACTGGAAGAAAGATAGCCTCTTTTAATAAGTGGTTCTGGAAGAATTGGC